GTTACTACCTGCGTCATTTCTGTGACGTCAAACGGTTCCCCGACTGGCCTGTTAAGGACCCGGTAAGTGTCTTCTTCCAGTACAGTTGTTTATTATAATTGAAGAAGAGTCGAGCACCGGAAGACTTTGTTTATTGTCCTGAGCTTTCAGACTCGTACAGGAGTCCATCATCAGCAGTATTAGCAGCAGCAGAACAAGCGACAGTTATAAGGCATGTAGGCCAATCATGGACGGACGGCCCAAGACTGGAGGTGACTACGCAGGGCTCTGTACGTCGGCGCCAGATCGATAAATCGATTGACCGAGTTCTCATCCGAGGCCCAGACTTCAATCAATTCTCGGCCTGTTTTGTTTCCGGCTTGGGCGATTGTTTCGGCGGCTGCGAAGTCAAACTCGTGACCCATTTCGTAGGTGTGGGCGGCCACTTGTGATAATGCGTCGCCTCGTCGCACAGCTAGCTTATGTTCGTGTATGCGCGATCCGAGCATGCGTCCAGTCTGTCCTGTGTAGTTATCAGGTCAATTTTGACACGGAATGCGATACACTACTCCAGATTGCTCTTCAGGCTTTAACAGGTCTTTGATTTTCATGACCCTATTGCGCATTGTGGCTTTGCGACGGTGTTCAATGCCAACACCTAGTGCCGCAGGAATTCACTCGGTCGCTTCAGAAACGCCCTTGATGTATGACAGAGAATGCCATTTCGTCGGTGGCGTGATGTTCGAGCTCTCTAGTGGCGACCGCGAAGGCAGCTACTTATGAATGCCCTCGGACAGTTGTTTGTAATTACCATTTCATTTTTCTGTGCAGCACCTTCCGTCTTTTCGCCACCTTTAAATCAGGTGGCGGAGCAGTTTCGGAGGATAAATCTGGCGTTTCGCATGTGTTCTTCAGCCCACGGCAGAATAGAGGCCTTTCTTAGGCATGTCTGGCTGTCGGCCAATATTCCACCCCTGTTTTATCCCGTCAGTGAAGGATAGCTCCACCCGGCCTGTGGTAGGTGAATTCAGCGGTTCATGGGCCGTTTCCTATTGCGTGCCGAGACACTGTCCGAGACGAATGGGTGACTTCTCCCAGGACTTGGCATGACGACTTGCGTGCACCCATCGCACTGCACCGCAGCCGTTTGGTCATACGTTCGCGTCACCATTGATTTGTTCTCTAGGACGCATAACTTTGCGGCCGGTTGCGTTAGTTTGCATAATACGGGCTTGAAAACAGTCGCCCGAGTCAGAGACAATCTTCAGGCGTAACTGCGAGTTAGTTGCCTCGAACTTTCCCATGCATAAAACTGTATCGGATTGTACTTACAGCCCAAAAAACATCAGGTACGAATAGCGTACTCTAGGGATAGTGGTGGCTACTTCGGTGAAAAAGTTGTTGTTTGGAAAACCACATGTGGCAACTGTGATGCAGTCTATGACGGCCAGATTGGGAAATCTGCTTCTGACTATGCATGTGGACATCAGCTAGCAGTGAAGAGGCGAAACTATCTATCCCTGGTCGCCATACACACACTGGACATTCTCATGGTTGAGAATTCGCGCCTATGTCGCCTGGCCAACAAAGAAACGTCGCAATTTCCTGGAGGTAATGCGCTGAGATTAGACATTAATCAACGGGCAAATAGATTTAGATGCCGCACAAAATTTTCAAGTACGAATAGGAGCTAAAGGCAGTCAATTCCAGTGGGATGATATGATTCAGTATATGCGTATTAGGGTAAATTGCAGCGAATCATATAGTCCCTTGTTAGACGCAGTTTGTTAATTAACTTTTTTATCTCGCCTATACATGCTGGGATACCAATCTTGGAGACTTACATAATAGATGCTGTTTTTTCCCAAAAACTTGGGCCTTATTCTAACCACATTTTGCGATGTCTTTTTTTTATTCTGAGACGGTAATTAGGTCGGCTTTCGCCCGTTTCAGACATACTTTTATGAGCGCAACGTCTGCAGTCGTCTTTGTTCCTTAAGAGCTTGAAATAATGTCGCATAAATTAATGATGTCATTTGGGGTTTAAACGCATTGGCGGTGACAGAAGGAGACTTCCCAAAACGGATGCTAACTTTGACTGACGTCTTGCAACTAATCTAGCTGCAGTCGAGAATATCGGCTGTTTAACATCCGTGGGACGTGATTTATCAGGTCCTCTTATTGGCATGACGGGCCTTCTTGCTATTTACCCGAATTCCGTTTTCCAACCCCATTTTTTGTGTGATCGAGCAGACTGGAGTTTGACAAGACGCATGTCTCACGATGTACTCCTGATAAGTCTCCACATCTGATCAATTCTCGAGGCAGGGATTTATGATAATATTCAGCGTATGCATTATTAGTGACGAAGACTAGTTGCTGTTCTTCTTCGGATTCCTCCAGATTGCATTTTTGCGGGACGTCCTCGGCGCTTGGAGGATTGAAACGGACAAGAAGCCCTGCAAACTCTCTTATCATGACGCGCTTCGCGAACTGGAGCTTGATCCAGCCAACATCAAGGAGTAAGGCCTCTCTTTTGGGAACCCAGTGGTTTACCGAATTTCGTTTCTGTTTGTTTACTTTCCCCTGCTAATTTGTTTTCATGGATTTCAGAGAAACAGAAGAGGCTGTTATTCGCAGAGCTTACTATCAGCTGTCAATGAAGTACCATCCTGATAAGAATCCCCAGGGCCAGGTATTATCTCCTTTTCCATTTTGACAGATTGCTACTACTACCACTACTACTACTTCTACTGCTACTACTTCTACTACTACTACTTGCGTCACTCCAGTTAGTACAGTCAATACCCCATCACGAAATGTTAGTAACCGAAATTCTGAGGTGCGTTTTACAGTAGGAAGGACTATCAATAGAAGCCAAGAGACGAGTCCTAGGAAGCAGTCGTGGAGAAGGAGGCACGATAGCTGGGACTAGAGCTTAATTAGCCTGACGTTTCGGATTCCTGCTCGAACCCATCATCAGAGACAATAGCGGATGCAGGTAGTTCATGCACAAGGGGCTGCAGTATTCAGAGGATACAGTCGCCATGCTACCGCCCCCCCCTTCACCAGGGATCGTTACACTTGGTGTGATGACAGTTTGATGGCCGACATTCACGTCGTTAATTGCATTAATTTCATCACGTGTGTTGGATGTTGGTGTGATGATTGCTTGGCCATCTGACCCACCGATCCTGGTGTTGGGAACAGTGTTCACCTGTGCGCTCCCCGCGGGTCCAATTACGCTATAAATGGCCATCTCATGGTCTTAAAAAACTCATGTTTGCAAACTTACTAAAACCAAAAACAATCATTTCTTACAAAATCTGTAAAAGGCTTAACTTGCTACTATATGAGACCGAAAAAGGTTATTTGTAATTTTGCTTTCCATAGAACGTATCTGACTTTATATAGACAGTAAAAATCAGTGGAAAAATCCTTACTGTTAAAATATCCATTTTTTTAATGATTGAGGTTTTTCAGATGACCGAGAAAAGGGCATTCAGAAGACGAAGTCCTGGCTTGATTAAAATACTACACGATCATTACAGTGCCACCCCAGTTATTCTTTATAATAGAAAACGCACTGCAGAATTCCAGTCAGTATTTAGTGGGATCAGTCACTGGCTGACTAAGGACGTACAGCTTCTCACCCCTCTCCTCCCCATTTTACATTTTTGTCTCAGTTCTTAAATAAATTTCTCTGTTTCTGACTTCTTCTCCCACTTTCAGACGAGATTTCACGCAATCAACTCGGCATATCAGTATCTGTGCAACCGAAGTAGAATTTCTGATGGCCCCAATCGTTCTCATCTGCATTTGCTTATTCGCTCCCAAAGCATTATCTATGGACGATACCGCCAACGTATGTGATTTCCCACATTGACCTTCTTTTTGACCTTGCTGCTACGGAGGAAAGAGTAGAATACTCTTCTTTCTAACATGCTCCTTTGATTATTCCTAGTGCTTGTGCCGCATAAGTACGCCGGATACCCCATGCTCATATCAACTATTCGGCTGGAATCTGAAAATACTGATCTCTTCGGTAGTAAGAAACAGGGCGGTGTTTCGGTTGATCTTCTTTCGGCTGCCACGGAGTTAGCCTACGAAACAGTTTCTACCAGCTCCCTGAACGCCGAAGAATTGCGGCGAGAGGGTGGTATTCAGGCTCTTCAGGTACACTGGACTCTTATTCGTAACCTTCATAAATGGGGGGTTACTGGAGTCTATTAAAGTAGTATTACTGTGTTTTGTTTATTTTGTCTGTTCAGGAGGCCTTTGCACGCTGTTCTTCCCTACTTTCGCGGGATGATTCTATGAACAATGAGCTCGCCGTCAACGTTTGTTGCCATGTAACGGCCTTCTTCACAGTATCCACAAAGTTCCCTGCCTCTCGAGAATGCATTCACGAGATTCCCCAAATCGTTCGAGATATCGTACGCCTTCTCTATTTCAAGGTCAGTGCACTGATTTCGATTCGCCATCTCTGGCTGGGGTCGTCCGTCACCTAGTTATTGTATTAGTCCTCCGTACTTGCGTGCCTAAATTCGACTCGTTTTATATTTGTATCAAAAGGCAGTGCGAATAAGTTGACGCTTCGTGAAAAACTATGCTTTTTTGCATTCGCTGTCAATTTCTGCATAATCTAGGAGGGCTACATCCTTCCATCTGCAAATCGTCGTCGTTATTGCCGTAATTATTTGTCCCTGGACAGTTACCTTAGAATAAAGGTTAATGACCTGTTGAGTAACTATGTACGCAAATACACCGATAGCCACTTTTGCTGGAATATTTATGTACTTATTACGCTTTCATCTATCATTCTCAGCCCTACCCGTCTGTGAAAAGCTCTTTGACTACTCAGTGTTGTCAACTTAAATTCAACTAGGGATTACATGCTATTCTTGGACAGTACGTGGTTTCACATTACCCTTATCTCATCGCATTTTACAAGCCTCCGAAGCACACTGTCTTCCCAAGCATATTAGTCCAGTCGCATGGCTTAATTTCATAAGGTTTTGTAAACTACGATCGTATGTCATTTTTCGTTTCACTTTTTAGAATCTTCCTCGACTTTGCTGTCAAGCGGCCGCCTGTTCTGCTGCTTTCTGTGATGACTACTGGCTGTGCGTAAATGTTTATGAGAATGGAGGTCTCTTTCTTCTTTTATATCACGTCTTGGCTTATGACTTTACGCTTGATGAGAGTGGTGTTGAGGCCGACGAATCCACAAACAGTCAGGTGCGGTGTCCACTACCTTATCACATTTAATGTTAACTTGTCTATCTACTTACAAACCACTAAGTAGTACGTTTTACTTTCGCGCAGTTGATGCTCAACCAGCTGTCCCTTCTCTGCTTATGGGCCTTGAGCCGACTTGCGCACCAACATGAGGGCAGCTCCACCGGTCCACTGTCGTCTGCAGAGGGCGGCTCTGTGGAGCTGGCTTTGAATCGTCTAGTCACGCCGCACATAACGCGTAAACTGTTGGCTCTCGCGGACTTCCCCCAGCCAGTGCCCACGGCCACTCTCGGTCCCCTACTCTCGGAGGGCGGCTTCCTTGACCCCTCCACTGAGTCTGGTCAGGCTCTGCGACGATTGGCCAAACTGTTGACCACAAATTCTGCAACACCCTGCCTCATCTGGGACAATCAATGCCGTGCTGAGCTTACCGGCCTCGTTGGGGAACAAGTGACTAAGATTGTTAAAACGGTATGTCCACGTCTACTCTCGCACTCCTCTCCTCCCTGTCATGGCGCGTTTTTATTAAAAACGATTTCAGTTGGCGTTTTATTTAAAATGGCTTAACTTCTTCCACGAGAGCGGGGATTCATATCGCCTGGCAGCGCCAGAACAGATCAAGCTTGGTTTGTGGATGAGTGTCGAAATTCGTCTTCACTTTGAATTAATGCGCGGACTTTGCAGGGTTTACAATTCTGCTGACAGTTTTGAATCCAGAGTAGTTGTTCGTGTACAATGCACTCAGGTTATGTAGTGCTTGGAATGTGACTGGATTGAGTTGTTTATCTTTACGTCTCCTGATCTCTGAGCTACGGCCATATTGTTCACTGTATATGGCGTCGTCTTTATGTTGGGAACGCGTTCACCGATTGGTTATTGGGCATGCTCCTGCCGTTCTACTTTGAGGCGCATAATGACCATGAATTTCGCTGCTGAACGGAATACCCACGAAGACCAGGGGGACTAGAGTCGCCATTACTGGCCTACTAACCGTCATCCCTCGGAAGAAAACATGCACAGAATCAGTTGACTAGGCTCGCTACGTCATGCATTTCTTTCTGAACATGTTGGCTGT